TCCCTCTCCCTCTCCCTCTCCCTCTCTCTCTCTCTCTCTGTCTCTGTGAGTGAGAGTAATGGGTTCAAAAAATTTTGGAACCTCTTCTGTAGGTGTGGCCTGCTTTCCGGGTCCACTGGTGGAACCTCTTCTAACCGGTTCGGTAGATTCTACCGAACTGGTAGGAACTCACCTCTGCCATGGGCCTTCATAATAATAAACCCATAAAAACTGGACAGATATTTTATGGAGGGGAAAGCAATTTTGTACAGATGTTACTAACAAAAATATACTCTAAAATGTAAGACTAAACACTGGCCAGAAATATAATTTCTTCATAAGCTTCTCAGACCTGTTTGCATCCCATTCCCGAGATGGGAGATGATTTTGCATTATTTTCTCTCAGAAGTGTAAAAAAAAATATCTTAGGAGGTAGAATTAAGAGCAGGATGGGGTGGGGGAGGCAGAAGCCACCCTACACTGAAGTGCTAGACTTCCCATATCTCTGCCATTAAGAATTCTTTTAAAATGAAACACAGACACAGCAGAGCCTTTCCCAGTCCCTCAGTTCTCAAAACAGGAGAGAGGTAGTGACTAAGCCAAAGGGATCAGAGAAACCTGGCTAAGTTGAAGACTCTGGCCCACCCAATTTTAAGAATAATTCAAAATTAAGAAAATTATCTAAATCATGGGTGTCAAACACGTTGCCGTCACGTGATGTTTTGTGACTTTTTCCCCCTTCGCGGAGCTGGGGTGGGCATGGCCTGCACGTGATAATCCCTCTTATAAATTACTGTTTTTTTAATTGAAGATGGCAGAGGCTGAACCTGGGAGTTCTGCACACAAAATACACATTCCAAATATCTATGTTGAGCACAGTGGTTAGAGTGCAGTACTGCAGGCTAATTCTGGTGACTGTCGGCTGCCTGCAATTTGGCAGTTCAAATCTCACCAGGCTCAAGATTGACTCAGCCTTCCAGCCTTCCGAGGTGGGTAAAATGAGGACCCAGACTGCTGGGGGCAATAGGCTGACTCTGTAAACCGCTTAGAGAGGGCTGTAAAGCACAGTGAAGCGGTATATAAGTCTAAGTGCTATTGCTATCTATTTTCTCTCCCACTACATTGTATAAGCCCTTTTTTTCAAATTCCACACTCAAGCAACATTATCACATCGGACAACAGCAGCCAACAGGACCTTGAACTAAGGCACATAAATAAGTATCCTGGTACCTGGACCAGGGTAGCAAAGGCATCCATACCTGGGGATGCTCCTCAGTCTGCAAGGCAGGGTTGGTGGAAATTTGCTCGGGAGAGTAATCCTGTGAAACTGGTGTCACTGTACATTCCTCCTGGGCAACAGAAACTGGTGCTGGGCAAGGAACCTGGGGGGCCCTCTCCCTTTGGGGATCCAAGGGCTGCTGACTGATAATCAAGCACACCAGCTCGTCTTTTTCACGGCACATCTCCGTGGAGATCTCCCGGAGCTCCAGATAATCTCGCAAGTCCTTCACTTTCATTTTGATGAGTTCTTCCCGCTGAAAAGCTGTAGCTCGGAATCGCTCACAGAGGTGGCAGAGGCAGGGGCTGCTCTCGGGCTGGTGCGAACAGGAAGGGCAGAAGCTTTTCTTGCAGTCCAGGCAGACGCGCTGCTCAGCAGGGGGAGAAGAGGAGAGAGAACGTCAGGGGGGAAACCAAACCACAGCGCAGAATACACGTTTTGCACCCTCTCGTGACACCATCCTTGTGAGTATTGAGATCATGCCGTCTGTGAATCATCAGAAACAGGCAGGCAAGCTAACCATCTTCCTATCAATCCCCAGAGGGAAAAAAAAACCCATCAGATTCCCACATTCTGGTTTGGCATGATTTAAGTCATGAGAAGGCAGTTTCACAGCACCACCTTCTGTGAGGCAAGAAGGGTGCGGAGGAAGCCTGCTCAATTTTCCAGTCTAGCTACTCTGTTAGTCGCTAAACATTGGTTGCTGCTGCTGCTGCTGCTATCTGAAAATATATCCTTATGGAACATTTAGCACCTCAGACGTGAAACACCAATATTAGATCCACACAACTAAATCAAAAGTGGAGTAAATTCTGCTCAGTCTGTAGCTCTCAAAGCTCTCTTGGCTGTAGCTTGAAGGGCAAGCAGAGGAATGAGGAGAGAGAATATAGAGAAAAACCCAAAGGATGAGGCAGGGGTCAGCACAGCAGGGCAATGGACAGAAGACCCGTGCTGAGGCAGAAAACAGCAATGGAACACTTACACTGGAAAAACTAACTGGCAGGCTGCTATTTACTGAGACATATTTATCACTATATATGGACTGGAATTCAGTCAATGTGTGGGATTCCATTACTGGTGGTTGTTTTTTTACAACAGCAAACCATCTTCGCAAACGAACTTGCAGTGTCCATACTTGCTATGATGCCCCTTTGTCTTCTCAAGAATACTTTCAGAGCCTGACAATATTACTTAATCTTCTCTTACTTTTGTTCTTTTATATTATGCTGTTTTTATTTAATTATCACAACTCATTAAATTTATTATGCACATTCCTGTTACTTTGCATAAACTCTCTCCAGCTTCTCTTTCTCAGTATATCATGCTGCCTGCCTTCCATCAAATTCTTCCCGTAGGCGCTTATTCTACCATTGGCCCATCCTCTGCCTCAGAAGGTCGCTAAACTTGGCAACTTTAAGACGTGTGGACTTCCAATTCCCAAAATTCCTCAGCCAGCCAAGTTGCCAAGTTTGGAGACCCCCCTGCTCTACCTCACATAATGTACAGGTCACATGCCTATTACAACTTTCCACTCGGTGCCTAACATAAACAGGTTCAAAGGTGATCACAGGCATAACAAATATGCAAAAAGTCTCATGCGGTCTAGAACTCTTTGCTAAATTTGAACACTTGGAAATTTTTCAACTGCCAAAGTGTTGGCTTTATTTCTAGTGCAAGGCAATACCAGAGAGCTTTGTGGGTACAGTCACTCTGTTCCTCCTGAAACAAAATGTAAAATTTGGTCAAGTCTCTGCATTAAGCACTTGATTCATCAGGAGCACAAAACAATCAAAAAGTGGTGTTTTCCTATATCCATAAAAGCATCTCCCAATTTTAAAAAATTCCTCACTGGGGACCTAGATGGGGGAATACCACACTGAAGATGGCTACTAGATGTCACGTTCCGGCGTTCACGTTGCATACAAACAGAGATTCAATTTGTTTGGTGAAAAACTTTTATCTCTATCTAAGAAACTACGTGATAACCAGCACTAAATGACAAAGATACAAAGATAATCAAATCCAAGACAGTTCTATCCAAGTTAACACCCTCACCCATATATATATATATATATATATA